GGGGGGGGGGGGGGGGGGGGGGGGGGGGGGGGGGGGGGGGGGGGGGGGGGGGGGGGGGGGGGGGGGGGGGGGGGGGGGGGGGGGGGGGGGGGGGGGGGGGGGGGGGGGGGGGGGGGGGGGGGGGGGGGGGGGGGGGGGGGGGGGGGGGGGGGGGGGGGGGGGGGGGGGGGGGGGGGGGGGGGGGGGGGGGGGGGGGGGGGGGGGGGGGGGGGGGGGGGGGGGGGGGGGGGGGGGGGGGGGGGGGGGGGGGGGGGGGGGGGGGGGGGGGGGGGGGGGGGGGGGGGGGGGGGGGGGGGGGGGGGGGGGGGGGGGGGGGGGGGGGGGGGGGGGGGGGGGGGGGGGGGGGGGGGGGGGGGGGGGGGGGGGGGGGGGGGGGGGGGGGGGGGGGGGGGGGGGGGGGGGGGGGGGGGGGGGGGGGGGGGGGGGGGGGGGGGGGGGGGGGGGGGGGGGGGGGGGGGGGGGGGGGGGGGGGGGGGGGGGGGGGGGGGGGGGGGGGGGGGGGGGGGGGGGGGGGGGGGGGGGGGGGGGGGGGGGGGGGGGGGGGGGGGGGGGGGGGGGGGGGGGGGGGGGGGGGGGGGGGGGGGGGGGGGGGGGGGGGGGGGGGGGGGGGGGGGGGGGGGGGGGGGGGGGGGGGGGGGGGGGGGGGGGGGGGGGGGGGGGGGGGGGGGGGGGGGGGGGGGGGGGGGGGGGGGGGGGGGGGGGGGGGGGGGGGGGGGGGGGGGGGGGGGGGGGGGGGGGGGGGGGGGGGGGGGGGGGGGGGGGGGGGGGGGGGGGGGGGGGGGGGGGGGGGGGGGGGGGGGGGGGGGGGGGGGGGGGGGGGGGGGGGGGGGGGGGGGGGGGGGGGGGGGGGGGGGGGGGGGGGGGGGGGGGGGGGGGGGGGGGGGGGGGGGGGGGGGGGGGGGGGGGGGGGGGGGGGGGGGGGGGGGGGGGGGGGGGGGGGGGGGGGGGGGGGGGGGGGGGGGGGGGGGGGGGGGGGGGGGGGGGGGGGGGGGGGGGGGGGGGGGGGGGGGGGGGGGGGGGGGGGGGGGGGGGGGGGGGGGGGGGGGGGGGGGGGGGGGGGGGGGGGGGGGGGGGGGGGGGGGGGGGGGGGGGGGGGGGGGGGGGGGGGGGGGGGGGGGGGGGGGGGGGGGGGGGGGGGGGGGGGGGGGGGGGGGGGGGGGGGGGGGGGGGGGGGGGGGGGGGGGGGGGGGGGGGGGGGGGGGGGGGGGGGGGGGGGGGGGGGGGGGGGGGGGGGGGGGGGGGGGGGGGGGGGGGGGGGGGGGGGGGGGGGGGGGGGGGGGGGGGGGGGGGGGGGGGGGGGGGGGGGGGGGGGGGGGGGGGGGGGGGGGGGGGGGGGGGGGGGGGGGGGGGGGGGGGGGGGGGGGGGGGGGGGGGGGGGGGGGGGGGGGGGGGGGGGGGGGGGGGGGGGGGGGGGGGGGGGGGGGGGGGGGGGGGGGGGGGGGGGGGGGGGGGGGGGGGGGGGGGGGGGGGGGGGGGGGGGGGGGGGGGGGGGGGGGGGGGGGGGGGGGGGGGGGGGGGGGGGGGGGGGGGGGGGGGGGGGGGGGGGGGGGGGGGGGGGGGGGGGGGGGGGGGGGGGGGGGGGGGGGGGGGGGGGGGGGGGGGGGGGGGGGGGGGGGGGGGGGGGGGGGGGGGGGGGGGGGGGGGGGGGGGGGGGGGGGGGGGGGGGGGGGGGGGGGGGGGGGGGGGGGGGGGGGGGGGGGGGGGGGGGGGGGGGGGGGGGGGGGGGGGGGGGGGGGGGGGGGGGGGGGGGGGGGGGGGGGGGGGGGGGGGGGGGGGGGGGGGGGGGGGGGGGGGGGGGGGGGGGGGGGGGGGGGGGGGGGGGGGGGGGGGGGGGGGGGGGGGGGGGGGGGGGGGGGGGGGGGGGGGGGGGGGGGGGGGGGGGGGGGGGGGGGGGGGGGGGGGGGGGGGGGGGGGGGGGGGGGGGGGGGGGGGGGGGGGGGGGGGGGGGGGGGGGGGGGGGGGGGGGGGGGGGGGGGGGGGGGGGGGGGGGGGGGGGGGGGGGGGGGGGGGGGGGGGGGGGGGGGGGGGGGGGGGGGGGGGGGGGGGGGGGGGGGGGGGGGGGGGGGGGGGGGGGGGGGGGGGGGGGGGGGGGGGGGGGGGGGGGGGGGGGGGGGGGGGGGGGGGGGGGGGGGGGGGGGGGGGGGGGGGGGGGGGGGGGGGGGGGGGGGGGGGGGGGGGGGGGGGGGGGGGGGGGGGGGGGGGGGGGGGGGGGGGGGGGGGGGGGGGGGGGGGGGGGGGGGGGGGGTGGGGGGGGGGGGGGTTGGGGGGGGGGGTGGGGGGGGGGGGGGGGGGGGGGGGGGGGGGGGGGGGGGGGGTTTTGGGTTTGGGGGGGGGGGGGGGGGGGGGGGGGGGGGGTGGGGGTGGGGGGGGGGGGGGGGGGGGGGTGGGGTGGGTTGGGGTTGGGGGGGGGGCCCAGGGGGTATACTTGGGGGGGGTTGGGGGAGGGGGGGTCAGGGGGGGCAGGGGGGGTCCTGGGGGGGGGGGGTTACTTCCCTAGGAAGGGGTTGGGGGTGTTGTGAGTGAGGGGGGGTGTTCTGGACTTATGTTTTTTTTCCCATTTTGGTGGTTTAGGGGTTTTGGGGGGGGGGGGGGGGGGGGGGGGGGGGGGGGTGGAAATGCCCGGGGGGGCTTAATGTCTGGGGGGGGGGTAAGGGGGGGGGGGGGGGGGGGGTGGGGGGGGGGGGGGGGCTGGGGGGGGGGGGGGGCCAAGGGGGGGCAATGCCCAAATATGATCAGGGGGGTGGGGGGGGGGGGAGGGGGTGGGGGGGGTTTGGGGGGGGGGGGTGGGGGGGGGGGGGGGGGGGGGGGGGGGGGGTGGGGGGGGGGGGGGGGGGGGTGGGGGGTTTTGGGGGGGGGGCCCACGGGGGGGGGTATGGGGGGGGTTGGGGCATGGGGGGGGGGGGGGGGGGGGGGAAGGCTGCATGCCTGGGGGGGGGGGGGGGGGGGGGGGGGGGGATGCATGGGGGGGGGGGGGGTTTTTGTGGGGGGGGGGGGGGAGTAGGACTAAATTGGGGGGGGGGGTAAGCTTACACCACATGGGGGGGGGGGGGGGGGGGTGGTGGGGGGGGGGGATTGGGGGGGTGTTGGGGGGGGGGGGGGGGGGGTTTGGGGGGGTGGGGGGGGGGGTATTTGCATTGGTACATGGGGGGGGTGGCTACCCATGGGGGGGGGGGGGGGGGGGGGGGGGGGGGGGGGAAGGGGGGGGGGGGGGACCAGAATAAAATAGTGGGGGGGGGGTGGACTACAGTGGGATTTGGTGGGTGGGGGGGGGGGGTTGGTGCGTGTGTTTCCAAACCTGGTTTGGGGGGGGTTGGGGTGCTCACTCCCTATTTTCCCTAATTGGTATAGCAGTGATCAGTTGGGATAAATGGGGGGGGTTTCGTTTGGGGGGGGGGGGGTGCAGCTCATCATTACCATATGGGGGGTTTGGGGGGGGTGGCCTACAATGGGGTATGGGGTGGGGGGTGCAGGGGGGGTGGCTTAACACTGCATGGGGGGGGGGCAGGGGGGGGGTGCTTTTCCACAATTGCCTGGGGGGGGGGGTGGTTTCATGTGGGGGGGGGGTGGGGTGACGTTCAGGGGGGGGTATTTTGGGGGTGCCACTACTTGGGGGGGGGGGGGAGATGTAGAGGCATGGGGGGGGGGGGGGGGGTTAGTAATTCAATGGGGGGGGGGGGGGGGGGGGGGGGGGGGGGGGGGGGGTGTAGGGCATGGGGGTCAGGGGTCATAGGGGGGGGGGTTTGGGGGGGGTGCACACAATTGGGGACATGGGGGGGGGGGGGGGTTTTTTAGAAAACTACAGCCAATGTATACTGTGGGGGGGGGGGGGAATGGGAATGGGGGGTGGGGGGGTGATTCCCATTTGGTGGGGGGTCGGGGGAAAGCTACTGAAAGATGGGGGGGGGGGTTTTTAATGAGCCATTGGGGGGGGGGGGGGGCTTGGGGTGGGGGGGTGCCTTGAAAAAGCAGGGGGGGT